TACAATTTTATCTTGTTCTCGCAAGAGTAACGAATCCCATCTGTTTATTAAACATACCAACGAATTGCCATGGTATTGTTCTCATTGTTTTAACATTAAGAATGAGTGGTGTTTCCTCGTGAATAAATACAGTTACCCTGATAGTAAAATGCATAGTTAAGGGTGTAGCCAGATCTAGGAATTCATTGCTGACATTATCGTTGAATATATACATATATTTGTAAACGCAGCATCACGGACGCCTTGACTTTAAGCTTGTGTAATTCTGAACTTATGGCTAATAGTAAGTTTAGTGTTGCTTTACGGGATTTGAGAGAATCCAAAGCGTGATGTTTTTTCTTGGCGATGGTTCTTCTACTTTGTACTCAGATCAATTTTCTGATCTTGATGCTGTGTCACTTTGCGTTTTATTGTCATTTAGTTTTCATTCTCCACTCGCACCTACGAATGGTTTAGCGAACACCTTAAACTTGATATATGATAGGATAGCTTTTATTTCGATAAAAAAAAATAACATTTTTGTTATAGTCAACTTCATCCTCAAGGGAATCATAGTGTGAATTACATGTCTTGCGGACAACCTGCAAAGGCGACTGTCGGCAGGTGACGGTAAATGAAGTAATGTTATTAATCTTAAGGTTAAAAATTGCACTTTAAACGGTAAAATCGCTCGTGTATTCGTTTATCTCACCACAACTGATCGCGTGCTGATGCATAACACGTGATAAAACGTGCTGACATCTTGCAGTATCCTACAGGGACTTCAGCAAATTTCAATGCAACCTCACTGTATGGATCTGTCCTTAATTAAGAAAAAAAAACATACAAAGGGAAACACGCTGATCTTACGAAAAACTTTATTAAACACAGCCTAAAAAAAGTCTTCAATGTTATGTTCAAATTGTATCTGTTCAATACAAACTGCAATGTTACCGATCGTCAGAAATATTGAACTTAAGCTGCAATGCAAATTGTGCATTATTTTCAAGACTCACTTTATGCAAGTTTGCATATGATTAGCTATTAAATGATATTACTACAGCATAATAGCTATGATTTTCCAATTACAAATTCCTCCAAGAAGAATCGCCTTGCAAGCCAACCGTTTTCTGCTGACAAAGCAAAATTGAAGATATGTCTGGCAGTACTTTCAGAGCATGCAACTATTTGCAACATTTCGTTGCACGTTTTAATATATAACTTATCCTTCAAAATCAACGCGAAACTCTTCAAAATATATCCAAAACTTTCTAAATAATAATATCCAAATCATACATGTCTTAAAAAATTACGCTTTCAGTTCTATTTTGAGATTTAGAGAACAAGGAGAACATGGATATGTGATATTTTCGTTATCCTGTAATATATTTCTGAATAATCACAGCATGAAAAAAGCCACACATTTCTTACAAATGCATGTATTATCAAAGCCAACATAAACATACCAATGATATCTAATCATGTTTTATTGTCGAAATTGCAGTGTTGAACATCACAAATTGAAATTCAATATCATTAGATTTAATACCGGGACCAGGTACAATTCTATCCTTCGTGATGAGAAGATAAAAACCAATAAACGAGAGTTCTACGAACATGAGATATACTCCTTAAGTAATTCAAGTTTCATAACGTACAACAAATTGTAAATACTAGATAGAATCGCCTGCATATTTGCATATGCTTAACATTTTCCTGCATTTGGACATGATAAGTTTCTCACCGACCTATCATATACATATTTCATGAACATGTACGGGTCCTTACAACTTCAGTTCTTATTTATGCCTCCTGAGCCATTTGCTCAGATTTACAGTTTACTTTTAACATAGATTGGTTGGTTTAATTTTGATGATATTCAAAATTATAATCTAAATTTAAATATCGATATTTATATGGAGATAATTTTTCTGGGAAAATATACAAACATGTCAACAGAGTCGTAAACAAAGATCAGATTATATAAATCTAGCACTTAATATAAACAAAACGTGTTATGAACATTCTGGAAAAAACAAGGACAATAAGACCAGGGCCCGTATTCGTGAAACCATTCTCATGCTCAAGCATAGATTTTGTGATAATGCAGACTTTTTTTTATAATTCGCCTAAATGATATGAAATAATACAAATGTCAAATATAAACACTGAAGATAACTTTGACTTGAAGTCCTTTCAATTTTGTTTTAAATCTTTGGAAAAATCAGTCTTATTTATTAATTTTCAACTTAAACAAGACATAAGAATTGAGCACAAAATTCATGCTTGAGCATGAGAACGGTTTAATGAATACGGGCCAAAGTGTTCCGGAATATTAAGCATCTTCTGCTGACATGACGACTACCGCAATGTGAATATTGGCGTGATGTCACGTTCTCAAATGAGAACACTGTTAATAACAATGGAACCGACAGGTAGGATAATAATGTCAAAATTCATTCCGTGTAAGGAAATAGACTAGTTCCTTAAGAGATCCTTATGAGAACTGTGAAATTTTCCCATCATTTTTATCAACCTGCGAAATCCTGTGTTGTGAGTTTGTCTGACAGATGCCGACGTCTTACACTAAATCGTAATATTCAGAACAAACCCATGTTAGTTCATTTTGTTTTTAAAAAGCCATTATTCATTCTTATTCTGTCTTCTTAGCACTTTCATATGGGGTCTTAAGGTCATATCGTTTTTTTTTTTTTTTCTAGAGGAGAAAATAATGACAAAATCAATTTTAAATACTTTGAAAGTCTTCCTAGATAAAATGCACCTCTTAGAACATTCGATTTTCCACTCTGCAAACTATTATAGTTCATGGCAAGTGGAAGGAACGCATTCATTCTATAGTTAATAGAGTGTTCTTTCGAAGAAATGTGAGGGATGTTAAAAGAAATATCCGAGAATCTAATTGTAAAAATGATTGATGCTTTTTCAGGGGTATGTGTATGCATGTTTTGTTCACATTTTGCCCCATTTGGATTGAATATGAGTTCAGGCTATGTTTCTGGTCACATGTTGGTACTTTATATTGTTGTTTTATGTAACAAAAGAAAGTAGAGGGAATTATGACGACTATAAAATTTCCCCATAATCACCATATACGTGCATTTCTAAACGCCATGCGTTGTTAGTTTATCTCAGAGTTGTAGACATCCAGTTTGAAAATAGCTCTATTCTGAACAAGCCCTTTGCAAATCTACATGTTGCATTGGATTGATGTTTCAATAAATTGTCTCGAACCAAGATGTTGGAAACTTACAGATCTGCACAGGGTTTCAAAATATGCAGGTAAAAGATGAAGGAAGGATTTAAAGGATTTATGGTCGACATTACCATACCATCGATTGATTAATTTCATCAAATATATAATGTTTGATGTGTTTAATACTCTTCATTACATCTGCCGTTGCTGCTACCCTTCTTCATGTCCGATAATGGATAATTACGCACAGGAATTGACCCATTTTTACTTGACAATTGTCACAAAATTTGTCTTTCCAAGACATCGGATCTTTTTCTCCTTTTATTTTTGCAATGGGCCAACTTTTTGCCTATTTTCATGAATCTTGAATGGGGTGGTCAGATTTTGTTGACATTCCTAAGTTGTTTTTTTTTAGCTCAATGTGTCAAAATAAACAGATGTTGCTTCTTTCAAAAACAATAAAAGTTATAGTAAAACAACAAGGAAATACTAACATGTTAATACATAGTTATGATACAAATTCAAATCAAAATATACTTGGGCAAAATATGAACAAAAGACGATTTATATAGAGACCAGATGATTCGAAAGAGTAAGCCACTGTTTCTTTTTTCAAAGCTTTAAAGATAGGTTTCCCTTTTTCAACTTGTCCTTTCTTTTCAAATTTGCTTCAGTTTTTCAGCGTGATATAACATTACTTATACATGTTTTATAAACACAATACGTCACACAGTGTATCTTTTTTGTTCGCAATGAGATGCAACATTATGATCAATAAAACACACTAAATTTAGAAATATAAGTCTATGTTTCAAGTTGCACCTTATACTCAACAATAGACACATTTAAAACCAATGCTGAATTTGATATATGCTAAGTGCTCGTAATAGAGGCGGTAGAATTATTATCATTTTGAATGGACGAAAAACATTTACGGAATTAAATTTCTTTTTGATAACTGCATTAACATATCCTATAACATCTATATGCTATAACCTTATCCACAATAACGTCTCATCTAAAAGGAAATTTCTTGTATGTTGATGATTTAATGTGTAAACCGTGATAAGGTTGGCATATTGAAACATTTTTCTAATCAATATAAATAAACATGTTCGTGATGATACAGCAAAAAAATCTCTGCAGTACTCATTCGTTCCGTCCATAACTGACATTTCATATACTCTCTGACATTTACACTGTATATGGAAAATATAAAGTCCGGCCTAGATTAAAAGACTTGAAAGTCTTAAGTTTCAAATGAAACTAGTTTCAAAACATAATGAAATGACGAAAAGCTACATAAAATGAAACACTGGATTTAATGTTCCTGTTTGTTTCTGTAGTTTGTAGTGATATAAAATAATCGATGCATTTTCTGTGAGAGAACATAAAAAACCAAATAAAATAATGATAGGATTAAGAAACACTGCTAGCCACAAAGTGAGCTACATTATGGCGTAAGATGATGCTTGTGTATTAAAACAATCATATACCATGACTTTGATTCCAATACATTATTAGATTCTAATCGTAAGAAATCATTGGAAATATAGTGCCTTTTCCTGTTCCCAACGTCTGTAAGTCTTGTATGAATGTTGATATAAATGGTTGTAAGAAAATGATTAATGGTTCAACGGGAAATCATCGGGGGAAAAAACTAGATATTCTATTCACTTGAAGAAATGATGGCCACATATTTTCGATCTGCGTATGCATATATGATGCATATACCGATAATACAAATTTATGAACATTTTTTTAAGCAAATGCTGATGTGGCATTCCATAACTTGTTAATGTTTCAGATCCGTGTTCCATCCCACTGACAGGATACGAAAGCTTTATAACAGATGTCCCCGAGGATACACCTGTAGGTAGGTAACGTGACCAACCTTTTTCCTATTGTGTGTGTGTGGGGGGGGGGACCTTGTATTGAATATTTGCCCCTTTGTTTGCTTTTTATACCATTGGATTGAATACATGTATCATTTTTACTGGCGCCTCGGATCTTCTGCAATGGAAGCATACACTGGGCTATGACTTAATACTTAAAAAGATATAGATAAAATATTTATACAAATTTATAAAGATACAAATACTTGTGTCTACATTGCGCGTTGCAGGTTCTGTGCTGGGAAGGCTGAAGGTATCAGGGGGACTGGAAGAGGTCGATCTTACCCAACAACCAAACGATTATCTCTTACTCGATCGATCTAGCCGAAATATCACACTGCAGAAGGCACTTGACACAGACAAGGGAACCAGCACAATCATTCTTATGGTCGACTGTAGCATCAGACAAGAAGTCGAGTCGCCCTCGGTGAGTATGGAAGAATATTTATCGTCATGTCAAACGCAGCAAAAGAACGTGGTATCGATGATGTTGTATACGGATGTGTAAATGTGTTACCATATGTCTCTTTCCATTGTTTTATCTAGCCATAGCGACTCAATTTGTGTAATCACAATCGAGTGTTTTTAGATGATTAATGACAAGGTTTACGTGATGGCCACTTCAGTCATCACATTGCTCGCTGCTGTTTACACACATATAAAGGTTAAAATGGTTATACAATATCGAATCAAATGTCATTAAGTAGATTACATAACTCGTTGGCGCCACATCCTCGTGTTTATAGATTACATCATACCATTTCTACCTCCCAGGAATGTTTCGCCTTCTTAGCGTGGATTTCCCTCACAAAGAAAGTTATATCTTTTTGGCGTTCTATAGTATATCATAGAACTGATTGGGTGGTCGGGTGGCAAGTGGTAACGCACTCGTCTTTCACCTAGCCGTCCGGGGTTCGATTCCTGGAATAAAGGTGAAAAGGTATGGGGTCACCTGCCCGACCACGTGGGTTTTCCCCGGGTACTCCGGTTTCCTTCCACACTAAGACCCCTCGCGCGCTTCCATCCGAGCCAACAAGAGTGATTTATATAAGTTGGAGAACCTTGCTTCGCAATTGTTGTAAAATAAATAAAGTTTATTTAATTATATAGAACTGATTGTCCCAATAGCATAAATCGTTGTTTCAGCGGGTTTTTTTCATCAACTATTATAATCCTTCATTTACTGCTATCATTGATAATTGCCCTAATGAATAACATGCAACAACAAGTCTATTGTCGTATTGAATTTTTAAAGTTCCAAAACAATCGACCGGTTATAATTGAAGTAATTAATATGTATATGATGTTTGATGTTCATTGCAATCATTCGGCATTAAAAATAATAAAATCTTTTGAATTTAAGGGTTTGTGCACCTCTCCAGCTGGGGTGCTATTTAATTCAAACAATTTGGATTTATTTTCTAGGGTTCAACACCTATGCATTTAGCTCTACTCACGACAAAGACGAAATATCAGTGATACAGTGTAATTTCTTATTTGTAAACAGAGGTACACTCTGGCGACGTCGCTTTAATCTATACATTTTGTGATTTTAGATCCCCTTGATGGTCAGGGTTATTCTAGAAGATGTAAACGACAATCCGCCAATCTTCTCAAGTTCCAGTTACTCCACAAACGTAACTGAAGTAAGTATTTTAATAACTGATTAACAAATGACTTTAAAGATAATGAAATTTAAGACTAACCAACATGTCACATTTTTATTCGCAGAAGTAGTAACAATGTTCAGAATATGAATAATATTGCCGTTCTCCCTCTATGATTCAATGTAGAAAATTATGAAATTTGTTGAATCATGGGTATAATTCACCTTCTCATTGTTATCTTGATATTTGGTCAACTTTGACTTTCTTTATGCGCCTCCTAGATCTAAACATTTTAGACTCTTAGCCTTATAGCAGGCCAACTTTGACTTTCTTTTTGCGCCTCCTCGATCTAAATATTTTAGACTCTTAGCCTTATAGCACGACGAAACAGCTGAAATATTCGCTCTTGTATTTTTTTAACAATCCTTACACGAAACAACAATATATTGAGACTCATCCTAGTAATATGTTTTAGCAACGTTATTTCTTTTAATTGTTCTTTTTTATTCATTTACTTATTTATTTCACGTTTTCAGGACACTAAGTTGGGAACAATCATTTTCCGGGACACCATAGCAACCGACGCCGACCAGAAAGGAGGCGGAAATGACCAGATATCGTACCGAATCCTCCCTGGCCCGTATTCAGACTACTTCGACATTTCGTACCCATTGTATCCCGATATAAAAATAAGAAAATCACTTGATTTCGAGACACTTAACATGATCACAGTAGCTATAGAGGCTAAGGTAAGGCAATATAATAGCATTACAATCATACATCAAGTGCATATTCATCGGGAGCAACTACAAGTGTTCAAATGCGATTTTAAGTTGATATCAAGTATTTCCGCTTCCTTTTTTTATGCTAATTCTGTCGATTCCGTAATGTATTAAGGCACCACAGCACAAAACGTCTGTTTTGTTTATTATTTTATTTCTTCTAATATGTTGTCAAATTTAATATTTGTTTGAAAATGAAAAAATATATAAAATCTAAACATTAAACAATGAGTTTTTGATTAATGTCCATCAACAAAATCTTCTTTAGCACAATATTTCATAATTCATGTAAACACAACAACTATATACAAAGAATGACTCTCATACATGATTTATCAAATATAACAGAAGGGATATTTGCGTTCTTCCTGGTCTAGGCTGTGCAGTTGACTAGTTTACGTGTTTAATAAGAAGTTCAAACCATCCGTTCTGTTATGGATTGATTTCATTGAAAACTTAACATAAATGTAGATACGTATATATATAAGAAAGTATCTACAAACTATCCAGCGAATCAAACAAAAAGCAAACATACCAAGTCGTAAAAACAAGATACAAACAAATGGTGAGTTCTTGGTGCATTTTTGAAATTGTCGAAGCAACAGATAAATTGTATATAAAACGGCATCACATGGCATCATGATATATATATCTGAGCTTTTGATTTCTATGTTACTGTTATGCACATAATACAGGCTCCGTGTATACCTTAGGTAAGCTAATAGACAGTATCGCTCAAAATCTTTAAAACTGCAACTGATTGGTATATAAGGATAGGTATCAGTAATGAGGTATAGTTAATTATTATTATTTTTATCCAGGATAATCCAGTCCGTGGAGTGAGCATGAGTAGTAGCACCACCTTAACGATTAGTGTAATTGACACCGATGATTTAATTCCAAAGTTCACCAGAGATTACTATACAGGGACTGTCAATATCAATGCAACAAGGGTAAGTATAAACAGTACTTACAGAACGTATGATGCAGCAAACATCTTTCTGATTTCTTAATCTTACGATCATATAAATGAATTCAAACCATTGTAAACTTCATTTCATTCACAACAATTGCAAACCAAATGAACGCACCCGAGGGGTATGAAGACAACATTCATTTTCGTTTCACGTTATTTCGGGGAATCGAACCCAGTACGTTCAGATTAGAGGCGTCTGCGTCACCACTACGACACCTGACCAACCTGTTTATTCTACTACAACTGATACTTTTCATGAATTAAATTTATCACTATTCAGCAGAATACAAATCTGCGATGTATTTTGAATAAACGTAATAATTCCACAAATTGGAATTAAGTGCAAATTTCACAAGTAACAACTTGATGATCATTACAAGGTTGTTCCAATAATATCTAGAAAGGAAAATGTTGAGATTTCTATTTTAGTCGTAAGGCAGAAAAAATAGGTCATTAAAGTTCCCATTCTCATTTAAAAAATCAAGAACCATTCGTTTAATGTTGTGTAACATGACGAAAATGAAAACTGTAACGGTACCAACTAATTGTCATCTGGGGATTGCTTGACATTAGCAGAACGTCGTTTTGATGCTTGTAATTAGTCTACTGGGTGTAACAAATTGGCAGATACGGCTTGAATTATGCAATATTTCTCAATGCAAATGCACACATTTCCAAACAATCCATAATGTTCTAACAATGTTTAAAATATCTATCTTGTTTCCTACCAAATCCACATCTTATATGAAATATGAAGCAGAAACTACGTTTTGTTTGCTCTAAGATGTGAATGGCTGGAAATGATTTTCATTCCTATCAAGTCTTAGGTTAGTTTATTTTGTAGGTGGCAAATTTAAATGTCAACGAAGACTTTTAGGAAAAAAAGTATTTTCTATTGTTTTTTGAGGTTTGTAATGATGTTGAAAAACAGCAAAGAATATTTAAGAAAACTAGGGCAAACTAGTTTGAATGTTTTTTATTTTATTGACATGTTCACATTGTCTTTGTTGTCTTTTTGTTGAACTATTTATCCATAAGGTTGACATATATATTGGCGTATCATTTATTTTTAAGGGAACCGTTGTAAGCGTCAGCCCTCCAATAAAAGCACAGGACCAAGACCAGCTCAACACAACGGTCTTTTACCAAATATACGGTTAGTGCTGATTTTTAAAATAATCCAGGTTGGAGCTATTAGAATGATAACAACAAAATGAAATATTATTCATTCACACCATTATCAATTTAACGATTGTTGTTTGAAGACGCCAAACACAACAAAGAGGCAGATAGTTTAACAAAGAGAAATACGATATATGAAATTTAAAACAAATTACCATGAACCTCGAAATACGTTGTAGTCAAATAATGTCAACACTTTGATGCCGGTCTTTATTTAACATATATTCATTTTCATTTACAGACCCAAGTTCTCGTTTCCTGATGAATGCCACAACGGGAGCGATAACTGTTGAGTCAAAACTGACCAAGACGATATATTCCGCTCTACTTAAGGTAGAATATATAATTTTGACAACAGCTCTGGACAAAACTATCGTAATCCATATTCAAAAGTCAGATACATGTTTAAAAAAATCATATAAGGTGGACATTTATTCAAATATTGGTGTTTCCATAATATTATGTTATTTAATCTTGTTGCTAGGCAACCCAGATCGACAACCCTCTTCGATATGGCATAGCTCTTATAGGAATAAACGTGGAGGGGCTGAATCTGACCTTACCTAACGGTCCTTCGTTTCGTCAAAGTTTGTACGAAACTACCATCGCAGAAAGCCAACCTCCAGGAACTACTATCATGACGGTCCCAGTCACAGTAAAGAACCCTGTAAGTGACTAGTGTGCTAAGACGCTTGAAATAAATCCATATTGTTTCCATTGAAAAATGATATAAAACGTCATTTTTATTCAATACTAATGAATGATACTGAGTGTAGGGTTCAATCTTTCTCTCAGTGAGGTCAAGAGGGCAGATGAACCACAAAAAATGTTGTTTTGTGAAAAACTTGTAGGTGTCAGCTGGCACACTTTTATCTCATTATATAATCTTATCGAAAACCAGCATACCATTGACGTAGTAACGTCCTGTTTTGTTTACATAAGGGCATCATAGGACAAAGCATGATAGTTAATGATATTCATACATTCTTTGAAACTTCATTGAAACTTAACATTTAATCATAAATGTTTGTATTGCAGTTAAACTCGGTCTTTTATTGAATTAACTATCTGACAACTGAACGAATGAATTTTATTTATTTATTTATTTCTCTCGATGTATACAAATGCCGTATGCTTCATTGAGAGTGTATCCGAGTGCATATTCGACCTGACTGTTATCGCATTCAAGTTTGACTAAACATCCTATTGACGTTTAGGTATTTTCAGTATTTCTTTTTAAGCATTTAAGCAGTAGAATTAGTTACTGAAATCTAATGATGAAAAATCAGTGACTGTATTTAACCGATTACCATGTAAGGAATTCTTTATAAATTACAATCGACCAGTAAAAACAAGAAAATGTCAGCATGTCATCTTTATCATTATCAAAAATCAAATTTAATAAGACTAGGACAATAAAGTTAAAAGAACAAGGAGAATAAGAGCAAATGTTCCGGAATGGTATACGTTTTTTGCTTCACCGACAACAGCGGCCGCTGCCTCTACTGCCTCGTTACAATGAATTTTCTTTATTGCCAGGCTGGTGCTTTGCGCTTCAATATATTGGAAAGTATAGCAGAATTCGCCGTAGACCAGAGGTAAGTATTTCTAATTATCTATCGGATTAAAAGTAGCCTAGTTCGCTGCTGTTCTATATGAAATTGCATTTTCTCAAGACGTACAATAATGATATACAACGTAATTGTGTTCAGTGGGTTATTTACAATAAGCTATATACTGGGCAGTCATAACAGTACATCATTAATTTGTTTTGATACTCTTTCTCAGCAGGGAGAGTATATAGCAGATAAGGTGTTTATGTTATTGTTATTGTTTTTTGTAGAGGAAACATCTTCTTAACTAGATCGCTGGACTATGATGAACTAGACAAAGAATATCGATTCACTCTTGAAGTTTCGGATGGGAAACATGTGAGTGATTCAGACCTATAGTCATTATAGTAGATACAGTATTATATTCCGTATGGAATACAATATTCTCATTCCAAAGTGCCAATTTTAAACCATGAAGCCGATGATCACTGTATACTTTTCCCCATGCACTCCATCACTCGACAATGTAAATTATTTGAAATCGATACAGATAACCTTGTGTGGTATTTACTTGTATTCTTTAAATGTGTCGTTAGATCGTTATCAAGTGAGATGTTATAATCTCATTCACTATTACACAATACAAGTTATTGCCAGCGATAGTAGATATCAGCATGTTGTTACAATTCTGTTCACAGATTGCTACTACACCCATACATATTCGAATACAGAACGTCAATGATAACTCACCACAGTTAGATAATTCAGAATTCACAGTTTTCTCGGAACGGGTTCAGGGCGCAATCATCACGACCATTGAGGTAAACATTAAATGTATTGTTAACTGTGGTGTTTGGTTTTAATTATATTTCATATTGATTTTGCAATAATGTATTTCACTTAACACTTGTTTTGGCATCAATCAACACTGGAATACCAAACATGAATTGTCTCTTTCAATATCAATTTTTCTATCTCACTCGAAGATATATGGCTTATTCATAATGGTGGATGCTTTACAGTTATATGTTGTTCTGTTTATATCAGGAAAATGCATTCATTACATTGATACACATACTTCCTGTGCCGTCATTGGGGATGTTCTAAAAAACGTATGCCATCGGAGATTGCTACACATCACAATATTTGCCATCTTCCTAATCTGAGGGAATGCGTACATTTATTTGTATATGTAGAAGATACTGTTTAGCCTAATGAACGCCAACACGTCTCCACAAAGTGCAAATTGATAACTTCTGAAAATTACCTCACGTTGTACTATTGAATCTTTTATATATTTCTTAACCAACACAACTTTGAGCATTGTTAAATATATATTTAGAAAAGAAAATCGCTATACCATTTTGATATTCATAAATTCAAAGGCTCAAGACAAGGATCCAAACACGAGATTGCAGTATCAACTGAGGACGCACACATCGTGAGTATTTATCCTTACCATAACGCACAATGTTGTTGTTGGATAAGGCTTGAGGAGATATTCATATTAGCTCAGTATGAAACAGGGTTGCACATTGGTTCCATTGTTGATCTCATTTTGAAACATGTCATTTCTTGCTTGGTGTGTTCATGCCCTTCCGGAACACCTTGTCATATTATCCTTGTATTTTTGTGCTCTCGTGAAAATCTCTTGTTTTATACTTACTGCATTTAAGTTAAATTACGATTGTGTTGATATGCCTATATTTTTCTTTTTATTTTAGTATTTTTGATAGAATTAAGACTGAGGCATATTAAACGTTTCTGATTCGTTAGGTTATTCACCATCAACTCAGTAGGAGACATCAGCATCACAGCATCACCAAATGAACTAATAAAAGAGAGTTACCTATTGGTGGTCAGAGTAGCTGACGACGGTGTCCCACAACGGTCAACAGTTGCCTTAGTAACGGTGAAGTTCCCGCGTCGCATGCTTATGTCACATAACCTGTTAGCGATAGGAGGCACTGATCTACTGGCTGTTATATTTGGTGCCGTTTCTGCAGTGCTCTTAATAATCGTAGTCATTTTGTTTGGCTACATCATTCGATGGTGAGTTGACATTTTTAAGTAACAATTAGTGACGTACATTCGCTATCAAATTTTTATTTCTTTTAGGGGGTTATAAGATCTTGAACACGCGTTATCGTCTCAAAATTTCCAAATGAGGTCAATGAGGCTTTTATTACTTTTTAATCAACCTTCTGTATTTTAGTTACATCTTGTTATAGATTAAGTGTATACTTTTCCTACGATGTTAAGGTTCCTATCGCTTGTTTCGGAACTAAGAAAGCTGAAATTGATGACTAAATGTTTTTTTCAGGCATATTACATGATGGTTAGATAATTATCATATGCTTATTCTATACGGTGATCTTTGAAAATGACTAATTGAATTGCTTGATGGATTAACATTTGAACCACCTTTGTATTTTGTTTATGATTTTTTTATTATTACCTTATATTATTTCGATTAGGTAAAATATTACATTTATTCATATTCTTGATATTGTTGTTTCTCGTAACAGGAAAATGGCCTTCACAAATGAAAAACTGACGAAAGTGAAAAAAGAAAACGGATTGGATCCCAAAGGACTGACATTTAAGTCTGGTAAACCCATCTCAGATCCAAATATCAACGATGTAAAAGTGAATGGCGACATTAAAAAGATACCAAATACGGATATACCAGCGAACATTCGAGAAAATCCTTTATCGGACGATAAGATGCATTACGGTTTTTCTGACATTTCCAAAGAAGGAAATGATGAGATACATATAAACACGTCTGTTATTCCTTACGGAAATTCATTCAATAATTACGAGGAGCGGCGAGCCTTTCAGAATGACGTATTAAAAACATTTCACGTGCCTGAGGGCAGCAGTAGTGGGGAAAGCAGTGACAGCACAGGTGATAGTCATAGGGTCCTTATGAAGGTTCGTCCCTCTAAGTCTACATCTCTTTGTCGAGCTAACAACCTCACATGGGGCGATATTGACAGAGCCAGTTCCTATGATTGGGAGGTAAATAATATTTGACATTTCATCTGAACGTGTTTTCTCAATCTTGTTTTAAAAAGTTCATCAATGTTATATTCCTTTTAAAAAAGTAAGAAAATCGTTGACATTTTTCTACGAGTAGACGGAGCAAAGAGTGTTTTTGTAGAAATATATATAATTACTACCACCACACAATCTAATGCAAAAATGTTTATTTTTCTTACTTGAATAAGGTCTTTGAAAGTAAATAGCTAATTATGGTCGTTTTAAAATTCGTTGTTCATGCTCTTGGTAGCAGGTATTGTAACTTCATTACCTTGCGTAAGAACATAGTCTTTTCTGATGACGTTATTCTCACAAACTAATTACATAACGTTCGTATCCGTCACAAAAGCTCCGCATTATAAAAGTCAGAATCAAATTATTCACAATCTGTTTTTTCTCGTGCTAGAATAAATGTTGACAATATTTCTAAAGAGGTGAACCTGACATTATCCTATCTGAATACACAAAGGCATTTTAAAAACCTGTCTTCTTATTTTTGTTTTCACAGGAAAATCTACCACAGGATATGAGAAAATCGAATAAAAAACCTAAAATCGCAGTTTATTTTTGATATATTACTGGAAATACATTGGAGATTTTTGTGTGGAGCAGCCCAAAATCAACATATAAGTTGCAGTAAGTATACCATTCCCTGTTCAGCCGTGGACGTTATTAGACAGATGTCCTCCGTTACGGGTGATACACTGATGACATAGACACTAAATATTGTTAAATTGGATTAATTCTTACGATAAGACGCCAAGATTTTAGGTGGTACACACTAATGGTGGATAATCAATAATCTACATTCTGCGTTTCATGATTAACTCTAATAGTGGCTCGGTTCATAATATTCATAATTTTATGCACTTTGTGGTTTTTGAAATGATCAGATATATCACCATGGCGAAAATATTGAGTTATTAGCACATTTCACTGTTAAGATTACGATCTTTCCTTTGATCAGTTTTTAATCTTCCTCAGTCGACTCATAGATCTCGAGATTTAAACACGTAGCATAATTGACAGGTCCTATAAAAAGAAACAACTTTCCTGAGCAATATAATCCTCTGTTTGGCTTCATCGCATATAATTCTAAATACGCAATGAAAGGCGCTATTCATTTCTGTCTTTTGAACCTTCCCGACTGATTCACTTACAATAAAACAAATGGGCAAGGCGAGCATATTCGTTTAAAATTTAATGACTTCAGTTTCAGATATTTTATCATTGTCTTCAGATATATCAGCATTATTCAACTGCATTGAAATGCAATTTTAGATATTATTAAGACACATTTCATTGATTCAATTTTGTATAATGTTGTTAAATTCCTATATAAAGGATATTCTATTCCAAAATGACGTAACTTGATAACTAATCATTGCTTAACACTTCCAAAGAGGTAGGATAACTAATTATCTTATATATACTATAAAATGCAATTATCGAATTTGTTTTATTGTAAAATGAAAAAAATATATATATAATTATAATATTGTGACGTTACATTACATTTTTTCGCTGATGTCTGAATTTTCCCTCAAAAAGTTAAATTATATTTCTAAAAATATTTTCTAGGCTATATCACCAGGATATCTTTGTCGTAGATTATTGGGGAAACATAGAGATTAAGAGTTTAGGTAACACCATTTTGCTAATCGTTGTGCAGGACATCCGTTGACATCTGGTTGTTCACACCCGGCAGACCTATTGCTCCATCGAATATTGATAACAAAGGAAGCAGGTAGGTTTAATTACATGTCATATCGTATATGAACATAGCAAATAGTCTTACTCTCGAAATTCATTCTTGCATGACAGAATTATATTTTTGTCATCATATCTTTTCCTATTTCTATATTTATGATAAAAAATTATTTTGCCTGTGTTCGTCTCCTTTCCTGCATTGAAATAAAATACGTGTATTAGCTAGAATTTGTTCCCCTTTTTGGTAGTGTTAAGGTCATCTCCGTGTGATGTGACAAACTGTCTTTCGATCTTGACAGATTGAGAAGAATACAGTGAGAAGATATGCCATTTACACTGCCTGAACTCGACGTCCACACAGAATGGTTACACAGCGAGCACACCTGCCGAATGTTGAAATGATCAGATGAAAAGGACAATATATCAGTTCTTGTATGTGCTGAAATAAAAGACAAAATGTACCTGAAAGTTCAAATCAATCAATCAATAATCAAGAATTATACAAACATCTTTAAGTGATTTACAAGTAATTGATAATATAAGTGCTTGGTGTATAATCAAACAAAGATATATTTCAATGTGAACAATATTGCTGGTGTCGCTAGAGAAGTGTACATTTTATGCACATGGGCCAGTTCACTTTTTCTTTTGATCGTTTGTCCATATTCCAGAACTGTTCAACATTTATTCATGCTAAAATATGTGTTTACTGTTGACAGTGACATTTGTTTAAAAACATACTAAATCCTGGTGACAACGGACTACAATGGACATATGTCATGTGAATTAGTCATCATTGCTTTTTACGCTAGGCTGGTTTTGTAATAGGACATTTGTTTTCTATAATGTAACTAGATGTGAAAGAGATAATTTGTCAAATGCATATTTCATTTCAGTTGTGATATACTCATCTTCTAAGGCAGCAGCTTTTATCAATAAATAAAGATGTATATAATACCGATTTCTTGTAATGAGTGTGGTATATTGAGAGAATGTTTGATTTGCTGTTGTTGTAAGTCTTTGAAAAAAAACTGAAAAAAAAAAACAAAATAAAACCCACAAAAAATAAGATAAGATGAAAATAAAAACAAACTTTCAAATCAATCACAAACTAAAATCTATAAATTCTGAACGCACCAAAGTAAACAAACTGGAAGTAAAGCATTGAGATGAACTTGTGAACAGACAGGCAAGCGAGGTATTATTCTTTGAAGAAATGATGACAGAGTTTTACACTTAAACCGACAACACTATACTGTTATCCCGGTATATGTGACAGGCTGAGAACGTGTCTGTTATATATCAAAGCATGTCGTAATTGTGGGACACATCTTGCAGAGCGTGGCGATTTCTCGGATGTTTCCTGTAAGTACGCACAGGAGAGTGCTATGATACTGTCTGCTGTATTGCACTATATTGCTCTTTCTCTCTTTTCTATGCTTCCCTTTGATGTCAATCTTGACACTCGTCCTCACGTGACTCTGGCTAATGCGAAAAACAAAAAAAAGTAAAAACTAGAGAATGTTCGGAGGGAGCTATAGATGTATATAGCCATCAGCAAGGTACCAATTAGCGATAATCCATTGCCAAACCAAGAGCAAATAGTAAGTGAAATGTCCTTAGTAACACTGACGAGTCTTGGTAGAGATCTCCGATGTTATTCAATTTATCATTTGACTCTATCGTATCATTTTAAATTCATATGAAAACATACTATTCTCTTGTGAGCTTAATGTACAATCTTTCAGTCTGCATCTGATAAACGTTTACTCCCCAGGTATAAAGCTATATCTGAATTCTTACACAATGTATAACCGACGTTGTTTTGAAATTATGAGTTATCTGAAAAAAATCGAAATCTATTAAATTTTTTGGGCAAGTTAATCATATTATAAAGATTTTAACATTTATTTGATCAATATCGGTTTTCCTTAGTCGTCTCCTAAGTTCTAAAGCTTGGGTCCACTGACTAAAGCTTATCGTCACTGACGAGCAGAAGAAGTAAAGCTGTATGATGCTGTTCAATTCATCATTTGGCTTTACAGTATTTTGTTTCTATGGGAAGGTGCTAATCAATTGTTTGTTTTTTACAGTCATTAATATGTTTGTATTTTATCAATGCTTTCGTGCTCGGCATGGCCTGGCCGGAATCATATGCCGTCAAGTACAAATCATATCTTTATTCATTTTTTTTTTCTCATTAACATAAATGGCCTCCGAGACAAATCTTTATGTATTGTGTTTGTCGTGACATTTACTTTAACTGCTTTAAAATGTTCTAGTCTTTCAAGGAAGTTCTTGTTTTAACCCAAGAAATCTATTGATCTTGCTGAAACGTATTCAGGAATCCACAGGTGGAACTTACACCTTAAAATCCAACTTTATGGTATCTTAAGTGCAATTAGGACGTCATCAATTTCACATGAACCCGCAGCTTACAATATTAGTCACAATATCATAAATGACACTACGACTATACATAGGGAATCTAAAGAAGCAATAAAAACGATGGGATGGGATAAAAGCATCAAAAGCGCACGAAATATCCCATCCATGCAGCTGATTCCATGTTCTCCCTGAGGGTAAACAGATCGCTATCATCCATTGATTTTTTCGCCAAGATAAAAGGCATAGCAAGTAAGAATAAGCTTCTAACACTCCTTGATTTACGGGGCAAAATTGTAAAGATACGTAATAATGTTAAGGAATGCGGAAGAAAGTGGCACTTCACGATTTTTTCATTGTTATTATGGTAAGCGATTAATGAATACAACAAGTTTTTAGTGTCGCACCATTCACCGTCAAATATGTCTGATAATTAAAATTGATAGTCTTATACATATGAAATTATACCATATGATTCCCTTTAAGAGCAATGCAGAGACATGGGTCGTTGTGTAGCTTTTGGATAACTAATTTGCTAATGCTTTAATACCTGATTGAAATATTGGAATAAATGTAAATATTGTAAACAGCCTGAATAAGGACGCCGAAAGAACACAACAGAAAAGGCACCAACAGCATAACTGATTCAATCAATTGGTATGAATAAATATGCAGATTATATTGTCTTTTAGATAACATGCGATGGGAATAATTCCAACGCAAATTCTATGAAATTATGGTACATGTATAATATTTAATAAAAGAGAAAATTTGACGGGAACACCTGTAAACATTCGAAAACCAGCTGTTCCAAGAAAGTAAGTGACTTCTGCTTCAGTTACAATAACCGTCATATTACTTCATATGAATTGTCTAAAGCATTTTCGAGAAATTGTGTAAGAAATTATTTCAGAATAGTTAATAATTGAACGTACCCACAGTACAAAATATGTAGTTTTGGAATTCATCGGGATCGGTATTGATTGCAAAGCTCACAAACACCATGCTGACGTGCCAAGTACCTTACTTCTTGGTGGCTATATCCGTATTAGACAGCTGTGAACTTGACCTTTACGATAATCCTGGGTTTCGACCAGTCTCGAGGTATTGATGTGTGTAAAAATGGTAGATTCAAAGAAATGGTTTATGGTCAGGAACTTGTAGATAAGTCAAATCTTGCTAGGCAGACAAACGGAGAAGATCGTGCCAAATATTCTATAGCAGACAACGGCGTATGAAATAGACGATATGTGGAAGTTGTTGGTCTTATGTCACAGTTGATTCGATATTCAAGTGCCTGGTCCTAATATCATGGTTTTCGTGCAAGAAGTCAACTGACGGACAAACTCGTAACACAGGGAGAATTCCTCTGGTTCTTTGTGTAATAGGTAGCTGGACGTGTTTACTGCTCGTTAGTTTGCCTATTGGTTCCAGTGTTGTATATCTTGTTCTCATTTAAGAACGTGATATTGCTTA